GAGTGTCCCACAAGAGTGTCCCACAAGAGTGTCCTACAAGAGTGTCCTACAAGAGTGTCCCACAAGAGTGCCCCACAAGAGTGTCCTGCAAGAGCGTCTCACAAGAGTGCCCCACAAGAATGTCCTATAAGAGTGTCCCACAAGAATGTCCGACAAGAGTGTCCCATAAGAGTGACCCACAAGAGTGTCCTATGAGAGTGTCCCACAAGGAGTTTCCTACAAGAGTGTCGTAGAAGAGTGTCCCACAAGAGCGTCCTGCAAGTGACCCACAAGAGTGTCCTACAAGAGTGTCCCACAAGAGTGTCCTACAAGAGTGTCCCAGAAGAGTGTCCCACAAGAGTGTCCTACAAGAGTGTCCCACAAGAATGTCCGACAAGAGTGTCCCATAAGAGTGACCCACGAGAGTGTCCTATGAGAGTGTCCCACAAGGAGTGTCCTACAAGAGTGTCGTGTAAGAGTGACCCACAAGAGTGTCCCACAAGAGCGTCCTGCAAGTGACCCACAAGAGTGTCCTACAAGAGTGTCCCACAAGAGTGTCCCACAAGAGTGTCCCAGAAGAGTGTCCTTCAAGAGCGTCCTACAAGAGTGTCCCACAAGAGTGCCCCACAAGAGTGTCCCACAAGAGTGTCCTGCAAGTGACCCACAGAGTGTCCCACAAGAGTGTCCTACAAGAGTGTCCCAGAAGAGTGTCCCACAAGAGTGTCCTATAAGAGTGTCCCACAAGAGTGTCCTACAAGAGTGTCCCACAAGAGTTTCCTACAAGAGTGACCCACAAGAGTGTCCTACAAGAGTGTCCCACAAGAGTGTCCTACAAGAGTGTCCCACAAGAGTGTTCCACAAGAGTGTCCCACAAGAGTGTCCTACAAGAGTGTCCTACAAGAGTGTCCCGCAAGAGTGTCCTATAAGAGTGTCCCACAAGAGTGTCCCACAAGAGTGTCCCACAAGAGTGTCCCACAAGAGTTTACAAGAGTGTCCTACAAGAGTGTCCCACAGGAGTGTCCCACAAGAGTGTCCTGTAAGAGTGCTCCACAAGAGTGTCCTACAAGAGTGACCCACGAGAGTTTCCTACAAGAGTGTCCCACAAGAGTGCCCTACAAGAGTGTCCCACAGGAGTGTCCCACAAGAGTGTCCTGTAAGAGTGCTCCACAAGAGTGTCCTACAAGAGTGACCCACAAGAGTATCCTACAAGAGTGTCCCACAAGAGTGTCCCACAAGAGTGTCCAACAAGAGTGTCATGTGGACATATGTATATAGCTTTTCGAACGTGTTTGCATTCGGGTTCGTGGGCTCCATTTTGTTTTTTTACATTGACCCCTCTTCCACCCCTGATCGGTCCAGGTAGTCCACCGATGGGTGCGCACTGACTCCCAACCCATGGAGTCTGAGGGTACACCGATGTCCGAATTCTCAGCGTGACGCGAGCGTGGTTCGGACCTCGCCCCTGGAGGCGTCCGGCAACCAGACGCTCGGGAAGGATCTGGTGTTGTGTCAACTCCGCAAAACCATGGTGGTTCAGGATCCAGGCTTTGAAACGCGAATCTGCGAATCCCCAAGCCATAGCGTTCCACTGTTGAGCAGTGGACAGGCTTGAAAAAACAGAAGCTGGTGGGCCGCGATGTGTAGGTGTGGCGTTGCGGAGCCGTGCGGGTTTCAGGCCAGTGATTCCTCGATGGAGCTGGTGGCAAGGCAACGTGGGTGACCGAGTTGGGCAAGGCTTCGAGACATCGGTGGGCAGGAGGGGCGCAGGAGAAATACCATCCAACAAACATGGAAGTGGAACTGGCCGACCCCCTTATAGGAACAGACCCTTTTTTTTTTTCCTCTATGGGAACAGGGTGTTCTCCACTTGGATGATTGGAGGGGAGGGAGGGGTATATATTCCGTTCTTGGTAAAGCCGAGTTTTGGAGTGGAACCAGCGTTGCTCTTTGGGGCATGATCAAAGCTGACCAAAAGCAGCCCTCAGTCTGGGGCGGACCATTCTGCTCCTATTCAGTTTGTTTGAGCTACTGTAAGTCCTTGCCACAATGTGAGGTGTGCAAGATTTAAAGCTTCATGATCATGTTTTTCCTCTTCAGCCATCCCAAGCACCGCATCGACCATGGGGGCTGGGGATCCGCTTCTTGGAATCCAATGCAGTAGATGCGACAGAAGACTTTAAGAGATGCTGAAGGGATGGGGATGAAAGCAAAAAACCTGCAATCAATATACTCAGTGCCCAGACATGACCCCTGTTTTGATAGGAAGCTTGACCATTTTTGGGTTGGTTGGTGATCCAACGTAGAGGTTACCATGTGGACTTGCCCAGAGTAGGAAGGACTGCGGGTCAAGCGATGGTTGATCACTTGATCAACCACTTTCGCATGAGAAACATCTCAATCAGAACCAGGTTTTCTGTGAACTTTATCCAGCACCTACGCCAACTATAGACATTGATGATGAATCACAATCACAACACTCAAGTCGCTGCCAGGATGTTCAAGTCGCAAGGCGCGTTTCCGGGGGTTTGAGTCTCAGGACTGCGAATGAGGGTCAAAACTACACTCCACTCCCCGCCAGCCCGCCAGGCTAGATGCAGTGTACACAGTGTGCGATAGGTTTGCAGTTGCTAGGTCACCACTCCTACCAAATCCACTTGCAAGAGATATGTAGGTCTTCCACAGCTTTTCCCCCTCCGGCAGATGAAGCTTCTCAAAATATGGTGTGTCATGGTGTGTCCTAGACCGGCGTGACCGGCTCTAAAGGATTATCACCCTGTTTGAGATGTCGGCCTGCAACCTAACCAACCACTGGGCCCTGGTCATATATCCCATACACTCCATGTATGGAATATATGCCGCCCCATTGACCCCCCAAGCCACCCCTGGCCTGATCGGCAGTCCTATGGCAGTCCCATGGAGTGTATGGGATATACCTTGAGTCTCAAAGTACCTTGGAAAATGGGTACAAGTACTTGTTTTTATGGGGGCATGTCCCATTTTCTAAGGTACTTTGGAGGGTCCAGGCATAAATCAAGGTTTACTCTTACTAAGTTTAAGCCACCGATGTTTTCGCGCTGCCGCGAGCGAATCGGGAATCGGGACCACCCGGTAATTGGGTTCGTGGTGGAGGAGACAGAGTGGAGTGGAAGGTCTACCTCCCTCCGGGGTGCACCTTCGTTCGACGTCTTTGGACCCCTTTTGGCCAAGAAATTGCTCAGGAGTTCCCAGAACTAAGGGGAAGACTTTGGGCTGAACAAGAAGCTAGTAGGGCTCCTGGCCGGATCGCTCGGATGTCCGTTGAAGCTCAGTTCATCACCCGACAAAAATAGGTGTTACCTCTCCCTAGGGATCCAAGTACCTTCTCAGAAGGTGATTGGAGACACTGTTATGTAGCTTTGAAGGGTCCAAGTACCTCCTGAGGTACGGTACGACTGGATCCCTAGGGTCTATTTTCGATTGAAAGCACTCCAACAACTGAAACTATATACCTGAAATTACTTTTTACAATTAAGAAAGAACTGTCAATATCTTTCAATTCTGACTCCACTTCTACTACAGAAACTCGTGACTCAGGGTGACACAGGTCGAGTGACTTGCGCGGTGGAAAGAGTCGGTGTGTTTTGGATGTGCCGAGAGTGACTGAGTCGGTGTGACTCCTCATCCACTGTGCGATGAGACGACCAGCACGAGAAACACAGCGGCCGAACTCTGGTGACCCGACTGAACTCTGGAGGGGCGAAATGCATGTTGATCATCTGGTGGGTCGCTGCCAACCCCCAGCGACGTCAAACAGATGAAATCATTACACCCGGGAAGATGAAGAAAAGGAACCCGAAGATGGGACATGGTTTTCCAGTGCAGTGGTTTTCAGGGTCCATGTTAGTTTTCCATAGGGTAGAGATTCATGCGGAATTCACTTGGATGTGGTGTCCCAAATCATTTGTTCTGCTCCCAAATGGACTTCCCAGAGACTTCCACGCGCCGACGCCCCAACCTCCCAAGAGTTGTTGCTTTCCGAACTCGGGGCGAGTTCGGCTGAAGAAGAGACCCGGTCGGAGATGGAAGGAGAGATGGAGAAAGGTCCCCAAATGTTGGATGATCCCTTTGAGAGTAAATTGATGGGTGTGAACACATGTGAACACGGTTTTGGATGGTTAGATTGCGTTTTATTAATTGTGAACTATATAATTGAGTGGATCTATTTTAAGGGGATACCCCCGGTCGTGTACCACCATAATTTACCAAACTGACCCCTTATGACCCCTTTATTATGTCCATTTGTTTCGGCTGAGTAAAACCCTTCGCATTCTAGTTCACTGATCCAACGGAGGCCTGGGCTATTTCTCTGCGGTGAAGTTCCAACTGCCCATGGGGGAGAAAGAGGCCACTGGAAACGATGGCAAGGTCCAAGGTCCTGCCCAGTTGGAAAGTACGCTGGAGAAAGACCTGTCAAACATGATCTGAAATCCAGCAGTCACAAAGGGGTGGTGTTTAGTCCCCAAGTGAGTGGATAGTGGGCACCCCTAACCTCCATGGATCGCACCCCTTTGTGACTGCAGGATTATGTCTTTTCTTTAAGATTGTACGCAACTAGGAGTGCACGGATGTACATGGCATCCTGGAAAAAATGTGTGAAGAAGTTGTAAAATCCTCCGGGTTCATCGTTGTGGAAGGAAGTGGTGTGGGAGGGTTTGGAAGACTGGGCTTCTTCTTTGGTGCAAGCCGTGGCGGAGAAGCGACCCTTGACCCTTGCTAGTAGGTTGGATCCCATCGCTAGTAGGTTGGACCCCATCGCTAGTAGGTTGGAGGCCATCGCTAGTAGGTTGGAGATGTTGGAGGCCATCGCTATCAAACTTTGTATAAAATCAAGTACCCAGACGCGACCCTGGACCCTCATATATGGAGGGTTCGGACCCTCATCATTGGAGGGTTTGGGGTCTCAACCCCCTATTGGTTTCGACCAAGGGCTGTTTGGAGCGTTTGGGTACAGAATTTGTCTATATTTGTCTAGTTTTGTTTTTGTAGCACTTTTGGTTGCCCCTCCACCACAGATTCCATAGATGATGAGAGAGTTTTAAATGAATTGAATCATATATTCTATCCGTTGCCCACGCTTTTGGTGAATGACTCCTGGACTCTTCATCGATCCATCTAAGACTTGAGCTGGACAAACTCCAGGGCTGGTCTCCGAGAAAAGGGCGTCAACGACTGGTACAGCACCAGCACTGCTGGGATGGATGGATGTATGCCCTAAGGATCCTTAGACCCTCCTTAGCAGGGGTTGGACCCGATACACCACAGGGGTTTGTTACTCTGAAAACCCTGGTTTTTGAGGGTCCAGACCGGATCCTTAAGGTCATGTAATTGTTGAAAATAGGAGACTCCCAGGCAACGACCTTCAGGAAGGAAGGAAACATAGACCAGTCTACCCGTTGGTTGGGGATATCTGGAAACACAAACCGATACATGTGTGCATGCAGCTGTTGGCTATTGCTTTGGGCTGATCCGATTCGATCAACCCTTGGAATGGGAAGAAGCAGTGCACGAGAGTACCAGGAAGTCAGACTTATTTGTCCGCCAAGTGGGCAACTGCCAAGATGTTTTTGTTTCACCGGTGAGGTGTCTATCCGTAAATTTGTCACACCAGGCTGCAAGTGCATGACCTGGAATCTTGCAGGAAGAGAGGAAGAGAGTGCTCTACAGCTGAATGGAGCAATACATGGAGACTCCGGCACAGAATGCATGGAGACTCCATTCTAGACTGTGATGCTATGACTTCGTCTTTTTGATCCCTCCAGCGCTGGCTCTCATGGTCTCCCGTCCCCTCAAGACGGTGGGAAATGGCGACGTGGCAGGTGACGGTGCAAGCTCAAGTGGTGATGAATGTGGCGGGTTCCAAGCATTGGGAGGATGGAGAAGGCACATGAAGACGGATGACAGCGGATTCGGAAGACGAATAGGAGTGACTGGGTTGGACATCCCAGACCATCGGACTTGAATAGTGACATCATGACATCTATCGTTCATCTACCTCATTTTATGACCACGAGTTCGCACGATTCCACATGTCCCATGGTCTGTGAGATGACCACCCAGAATCGCCAACATATGCTGCCAACATCATCCTTTCCACCCCACCAATCAGAATCTATGGGCTTTCCCCAACACATCTTCACCGACCATGGGATTTCCAGAAGTGATTCTCGCTTCGGTGGCTTTTCGGCCTGGCCTTCGCTTCACGACTCGTCGGAAGTGTGCTTTATTTCGTCGGATCAGTGATCGACCACTTGAAAGGCTTTTTGTTTCTCGGGGCCTCAGCAAGTGGTTTCGGGTGTTCAGCCCGCATCTATTATTTCTTAGATGTTGATTCATAAGCGGCCAAGAGGTTCAATTCCAATACACTGTTCCAGTACACTGAGAAACGGGAAGCGATCAACAATTGGCCACGGGTCCCGTCCGTCGGGGTTTACTAAGTAAACCAACAAAAATGGAGACCTGGACTCCAGGCTCAGACAAGATGGAAGGGTTTTCAGTGGTAGTGGGTCCTTTGGTTCCACCGATTGAGCATAGCATTCGTCGAGTCGATTCGCCTCCTTTGGCTGAGAACGCAGCCCATATAGGTCTCAGGTACCATAGCATTCGTCCTCGAAGCGGAGCCCATGGTACCCCCGCCGAGAGCGGACGGGGAGCAGGCGCACCGTCCAAGAGCGCGTTTCGTGCTGATGAACGATCTGATTCCATTTCTTGGCAACCTCTTCCAGGGGAGGCTGTGAAATTTGATGGTCCAAGAAGGGATTTGTAGCATATTTTGAACTCCGAATTTGATGGTCCAAGAAGGGATTTGTAGCATATTTTGAACTCCGAATTTGATGGCCCAAGAAGGGATTTGTAATACATATTTTGAACTCCGACCATTGAACTATATCCGTTCATAGAGTATATAGTGTCGGTCGGAGTTCAGGCAATCGCCGGGCGTCCAAGACGGGGCGGCTTGCCGAACGGCGTGTTTCACCTGGACGCCAGGTCAGAGGGTGGGGCATGATGCCACCTCAGGCTCCTCAGGAGCAGATGATCATCTTGGCCTGGGGCCCAGTTTGCTGAACATCTGAATCAAGTCAACGAAGTTGAGAAGCAGTTCTCTTCAAAGGCTGGACCAAAGAACAGTTTCATTTTGCAGCACTTGCCTGGTTTTCGTAATCTAGATATATGCCTGGCACGACGCGACGAGAACGCAGTCTTCACTGAGGTGCCGGCCGGCCAGCACCAGTCGGTCAACACCTGCACTCCCCTGAGGCCCTGTGGTTTACATCATCGAAGCTTATGCATGCCTGTGCAATTTTAAAGAAACAAATAATAATCAAAATGACATATAAAAGCGAAATTACTTTACTTCGAGAGATCCCCACCATGACATTTCAAAACAGCCACGTTGACATCATCCTCTTTGTGTATTTCAGGCCATAGCACAAGTCCTTCAGTGCCAAGTCTTACTGTTTTGTCCGAAGCGAATGCTTTCATCAGAAGACCTGTGCTGCCCAACTCAGATCATTTTTCACCTGGCAGCAGTTGTCGGCTGAGGTTGACGACATCTGAAGAAGCTGTCTATCTGGTGAGTTTTGTGGTTCTCGATTTTGCTTGGGTCCTCCGGTTGTGCGTTGTGGTTGTGTGCTGTGAGTTGTGGTTGTGTGTTGTGGTTGTGTTTGTGGTTGTGTGCTTGTGATTACGTGTTTGTGGTTGTGTGATTGTGTTTGTGGTTGTGCGTTCGTGGTTGCGTTTGTGTTTGTGGTGGTGCTTGTGGTTGCGTCTTTGTCGTTGTGGCTGTGGTTGTGTTTGTGGTTGTGTGCTTGTCATTGCGTGTTTGTGGCTGGGTGTTTGTGGTTGTGATTGTGTGGTTGTGATTGTGTGGTTGTGATTGTGTTTGTGGTTGTGCTTGTGGTTGTGTGTTTGTGATTGTGTTTGTGGTTGCGTGTTGGTGTTGGTGGTTGTGTGTTGTGGTTGTGTTTGTGGTTGTGTGCTTGTGATTGCGTGTTTGTGGTTGTGTGTTTGTGATTGTGTTTGTGGTTGTGTGTTTGTGGTTGCGTGTTTGTGATTGTGTTTGTAGTGTGTTTGTGATTGTGTTTGAGCGTGTTTGTGATTGTGTTTGTTGTGGTATGATTGTGTTTGTGATTGTGGTTGTGGTTGTGTGCTGTGGTTGAGGTCCGGCAGGGAACACTTGGGCCTGGAGCTCGCGGTTGAGGTCCGGCAGGGAACACTGGGTGCGGATGGTCGCGGATGAGGTCCGGTGGGGAACACTTGGGCCTGGAGCTCGCGGTTGAAGTCCGGCAGGGAACACTGGCCCGGATGGTCGTGGTTGAGGTCCGGCAGGGAACACTTGGGTCTGGAGCTCGCGGTTGAGGTCTGGCAGGGAACACAGGGCGTGGATGGTCGCGGTTGAGGTCCGGCGGAGGAGGTGGAGGAGGACGAGGCGGCGGAGGAGGCGGAGGCGGAGGAGGAGGCGATGGGGCTGACGTAAAATCTAACAACCCTCACCTGACAGGTGGGGAAAGCCAGTGTCCTCCCAACCCTCAAGAGGAGACCTGTTGGACGATGCTGCTATAGAACACAAAATCCTGGGGATCCACCTCCAAGACCGTCTACATAGAGGAGTCGATTACATCACCGTACCAGTGAGGGTGGCAGTGGAGCCATAGCGTAAAAAGGATAGTAATAGCAATATACGTTATATGTAACAGGAATATATATATATATAAACTAATAGTAATATGGATATAATATAAACACATATTATACACATGCAGTATGCTTTTTTGTTCTTTATAAAGTATTTTTTTGTTCCGTTCCTTTTGTCGGTGAGCATGGGAGCAGACAACGACTCCTGGGAGATTCGCGCCGACCCTTCTTCGGCGATTTGCAAGCTTCCTTGTTCTGTCTTTTGGATGCAACCAGCTGCAATGGAACTCCCCAAACAGTCCCAAACTTGCAGCGAAACTGGGTACTGAGTACTGAAAAAAGGTTTGCTGGCGTGTTCTTGCCCGAACACATAAGAACAGAACACCGTCAAATTTTCAATCGTTAATCCAATCATCCTCGTCCTTCTTTCGATTTCTGCGTTCGACACAAGCGGCGCGGCCAGTCCTTATGCGATGGCATGGTATCCTGCTGATCAACGGGAACACCAAGCGCAGCAAACGCAGCAAGGACCGAAAGTCGATTCCGGAAAGAGCGCGTTTTCCATGGTGGTCTTCCATGGTGTATCCAAGGTTCCATGGATGTTCAACCAATAAGGCTAGTCATGTCTAGCCCACATTCCCCAAATTAAATTGGGAATCACAATTAGTCTATATATATATATATACATACATGTCTGTTCCATGTAACATACATCTTTGAATCCCTTGTACTACGATCATGTTGCCGCCCTCGCCCCACGAACCGAGTTCAGCCCCGAGTTCCAGCGAAGTTTGAGCTTGCGTTTGCTTCGAGGATCTAGGAGGGAAATTGATTGAGGAACCTTTGTTGGCTGAAATAAATCGCGCACACCTCGAATTTGCTCGAACTCATCCTTCTTGAAGGCATGCCAGGCGCTTTTCTTGACGCAATTTTAGGACAAACAGTGCGTCCACTGGGCACGTTGCTTGGTCAACCGATGGTGCCCTACTTGGGCAACCGACACGCGACGTGCTGTTCCATGCTGTGTCTATCATGTGCCTAGAAACTCTCAGGACCTTGGCAACCCTCCTGTGCCGCGCCAATGCAAGCAGTGCCCCAGTGCCCCACAGCTCCCGTGCCCCAGTGCCCCGGCGGAGTCGATGTGGGCCGAGAGAAGGTGTGGAGTCATCAATTCGTGGAGTCACGTCTTGGATTGGCTCAGGCAGTTTTTGAGAATTTTCGAGAGGAAGGATGGCCGGGGCCAGGGCTATCAGCTATCACTCGCTATGCCACATATGAGGCAGCTAGTGTTCTGCAATTTGAAGATGAATCACATCTGAACTTATGCGTCATAGACCCTGAATCATAAGCATGTATAAGATCTTTGTTGGAGAAACTCGTTCAATCTCAATCCTCCTCCCCCCGCAACTGAGGCTTGAGCCAAGGATGGTCTGCCAGGATCAGGAGGGGCTGTTCCAAATCATTGGCCGATTCAACACGTGGTTTCTATAGTATTATTATAGGACGTCCAGAAAAGCGTCCAAGAACAGCAAACTGTAGCAAACTGTTGCAAATGAAGGCACTTTTTTCGGTTTCGACCGTCGACTTCTTCATCGGGAGATTGATGACAAGACGGACATCTGGATGGTTTTTCCAGGCCATTCGAGTGGACGGAACACTTTGGACAGCAGGCACATGTTGATCACAAGCGAGCACAGCGCAAAATGGTAGAACCCGAACAAAAACGATGTCCGAATTCGATGGGGTTCAAAAACCAAACCCCCAAACTGCTATCACACTTGGTGCCATGTATACACCGGGAAATGAGACCGGAACCGGGCTGATAGCAGACTGGAAGACGATGACAAAAGACCGATCCGACCGTGGTTTTCTCTCAGGTTCGGTCTCGGATGGTCTCGGTCGGCAAACGAGTCTCTTCACTGGATCGATCGACACCGGTGGCGGGGGTGGCGAACCGCGCCTCGCGCCTCGCGAAACGGGCGAAACCGTCGAAGCAGGAGCTTCCCACGGAGCGCCATGCCGACTCGGGCTCCGAGGCCGCCCGTTTTCGGCGTCCGGACGGCGCCAGGTCGTTTGGGTCGTTGGGGTCCGGTCGGCGAAGGTCGTGTTCTTGGCGAGTTGTTTTTGTTGTTTGTTGTTTTTAGGTGTCAAAGGCACTGGACACCACAAGCATGTGGTTTTTAGGTTTCCCTTGCGCTTTACGGTTCGTTTGGGCAAGAAACAACATATCATCTTGTTGTGCCAGGTGG